TCCTGCCCACTTTGCCCATCTATAATGCATGGACAGTCAGATTTTGGATTCTGTTTATTGCCCCAAAGTACATCTTATCAATCATAATATGAAGTTGATATATAGATCCCCATGTAGCATAGGAAACGCCTACTAAAGATCACTAAAAGTATGGAGATTGTGAATCTAAATGTTAGGTTTTCTACTGTTATTTTTAGCAAGATGTTTTGAATTAGTAAATTATATAATAACCTTAACTCACTTCTCCTACCCACATTAAACTTCAAACAGGAGCATATTCTAAATGCCAGAATTTTCCAGAATATGCAATTACAGAGATCACTTAAAAGCTGCAGAACTCTGCCATACCAGGCACTCAGCTGGGTGTTAGCAACAGACTGTGGTAGCACTGGTTTTTATCTGCCCACTATCATGTCTCATCTTCTGTCTTCTGGTTCTTATGGTGACTTCTCTGTCAATCCTTTTGGTCCTGTAGTATGGTCATCATGAGACCCAGCCCCAYCACAGACAGGATTGAGGCTGACTTTAGTGCACTGTCCCCCAGCATTGCTGCTTAGTCTAGAGACAGACTCAAAAGGCATGACTCAAAGCCCTGGGGTAGATGGGTAGAGAATCTTTCTGAGAAGGAAGCCAAGAGGGACAGGCTGATGATATTCTTTAAGCCTTTGTATCCAGCTATGCTGATATCCACAAGAGGACTTCCMATTAAGTCCAACAACACAGTATCTTGTCATTTATATGAGTTTGAGTTGAATTTTTATAACTTGCAACYAAAGGAATCCCGATGAATGTGGCATTTATTTTGCAGAAATAAAATAATCATGATATTAACCAATTTGCCTCGAACCCCTTCCTTTTCTTAACACTTGGGGTTGTAATGTATGCTTATGTAAATTCTTATAATTTAAGTGACATATTTGACTGCAAGACACATTTAGCCTAGAAGCTCATGTCAAACAATTCTTTATTTTTTATGGTACAAATTAAAAGTGACAGATCTGAAGCTGTTAAGAAATACACAAAGTGCAGCTTTACCGACCATACAGATATTGCTCTAGATTAAGTACAGTTTTTTTTTTTTAAACATTAAGCAACCTGTGCAGATAAATCAGCTTTGGTTTCAATGTCAGAGCAAGTAAGGAGCTTTTAAATATCCAGTTTGGCTTCTTGGTCACAAGTCTATCATGTCAAGTTCTCGTCATGATGATTTTCCCAGAACAACCCAGTCTGTTTCCCTGCCCTCCCTCCTGCTGCCTGCTCCAGGCATGGAGAAGCAGATCTCTTTGCGGTGCCTCATAAGTGACCCTGGTGACCAGTCTAGATCACAGCACATAGGACAAAAAAAAAAAAAAAAGAAAAAAAAAAGAAAAAAATCATTTTCTTAATAACAAATAAACATATGTGCCTCACATAATTTCAAGTTGAAGACGAGCAAATCACATGACAAAAAGCTCATTACAAAATGTTATCCAAACAGATTTTTACAGTCAAACATGAAAATGAAAATCAATTTTCTTTTTCTCCATTTTTTTTGTTAAGCTTGATCAYTAACTGGGTACAAGTAGAGTGCTGAGGTAAAACATTGATGAACAGTTTGTATTTTTTTTTTCTTAAAATAGGAACAGTTTAGTATTGCGAGATTGTCAGCAACATTTAGCCGTATCTATACAATGTGCATATACCTACAAATATTGAACTTTGGTCCAGCGTAGAGAAGACGAGCAAAGGCAATTTACGATTTCTTTTTGGTTATAGCTTGAGTTCTTTGATATGCCTCTACTTGTTTTGTTTTGTTTTGTTTTTTTTCCTAGCTCCTTTTGCTTTTTTTGTTCTCTCTTTTGTGTTGTGTTGTGTGTGTTGTGTGTGTACTGTGTGATTATAACACAAAGAAACCAAAACCTTGTAAATACAAGTGAAACTTCAGCTGTTCAAAAAAAATTTTTTTTTGGGTGAAAGAGAAAAAAAACCCCACTAACAAGTATAAAATATAGTATCCATTGTCATTTTTTTCATCAAATAATGAAGAAAATGAAGGTGACAATAATTTAAACGTATGTGAGAAAAATATTGAAGCTTGAAGTACAATCACATATGCCCAAAGTGGCTTTTATTTATTTTTTTGTTGGTGACAACCTTAACCTTCAGTTCATGGAAACATAAAAGACATTTAAATGTTATTGGCGTATGAAGTTGTTTACAAGTGGAAATAAGAAATGTCATAATAAAATTAAACAATAAGTATGGTCCCGAAGACTTATGAGTTACACAGTATAATTTATATTTCTAAGAATCTGTTCAGGCACCTTTTTTTATGCCTTGTAGCAAAAAATTTATCTGTAAAAAATTAATATAAGAAGCATTACAACACCTTATAAATAATTTATAAAACAATACAAAATTATAAAACTATAAAAAAAATCACTGCACATGAATGGTTTTACGACTGTGGGATGAATGTATTTCTTCTTTGTTCTACTCCGGATGATCACTGTTATTTTATATTTTCACTGTCCTAGTTATACCCTCCCAATTATAGATCTCAGAACTGAGCAGGCCTTATGTAACTGCTGCTGGCATATTTTTAAACATTTAACATCCGTCATATGTTATCTTGTTAACTTCTCTTCTTGGGGAGCTTTTCTTGATGGAATTTGGAACAGGTCCTAGGAGAATACAAAATCTGTTTTAATCAATAAAGTTTTGGGTTTCTGTGTTGTTGGTATTTGTGCAGTTTTTGAGGTGGTGAAATGGGTACCATGATGTTGTTGGCATGGAACAGGCTAGTTGTGGTCCAATTAGCATCAGACTGGTGAAATGGAAACACCTTTACTAGCAACTAGTTCCAATTTCAGGATTTTTTTCTCTTTGTTGGTAGTTTTCTGACTGCTGCATGAATCATCTGAGGGGGACAGTTATACTGTCCCAGTTACATGACAGTAAAGGAGCCCACGGAAGAAACTAGAAACCCCTAGGGGAAGGGAGTGCATTTGAGGAAGGAGATGGTGTTTCTAATTCATTGGTCAATTTGAGGTGGGGTTTCTCTTTTTCCCTCCCACAATTTACCTCTAGATAGTACATGAACATGATTATTAATGAATCACTCATAAATATATACATTTTGACTGCAGGCAAATTCACAGTTCTCTTTTGTGTGCTTCTTTGACAGAACACCTACATACACCTTGGCGCAAATATTAGTTGCAGGTTCCAAGTGTTCAGCTGCATAGCCCTCCTCACTTCTCAGCACATTCTTTGGGCTTCTTAGGGTATCATGGCCCTCAGAATCTCTTGAGCAAGTAATTTTTAAAAATGAACTAATCCTCTAGTTCTAATAGTGAAAGCTATTCTGATGTGTCATATGAGCTACTTCTCTATATTTTTCATTTGATGGAGACACTTAAAACTTCCTTCTTCCTCAAGAGTCAGCCCCCAATCCAATTGTTCAAATTCACCTGTCACTTTTCTGCTCTGTTTATCTATCCAAAGAACAGTCGCTTCCCCCCCACAAGTCTGCCATTACAGACTTGATGAAAGAGATAGCAGAGAAGATGAGATTAACCAGATACTCGATGGCCCTTAACAATGATTTGGTCGCTATCACTTTCTTTGTGGCCTGTTTCTTTGTGTGGGTGTATATGGGTGTGTTCATGCCTGTGTGTACTTTGACTGAAACCTTGAGACATTTCTTTGGCTATCAGACTTCTGAGAGAAATTGCTTTGCACAGAAGCATAACATAGATGTAAGTATTGAACCAAATGTGCAGCTTATGTTTATATTACAAAATTAGTTTTGGTCAGCTCTCCATATACGTGGCCAACAGACTGAGAAAAATCCCAAGCTCTAGTGTGGACAGTGAGCACAATTACAGCTTATGCCAGTGTTGACAGTTCATCGAGCAAAGCCCTAGTTATTTTGGAGTCTCTCCTACATTTCAGTAGGATCTCAGTGGAAAAGACACAGTTCTTCCCCACTTCTGGGGCCTTCCCGCAGACCCCCAGAGACCTTGGAGATGGAGAAATGGAGGAAGAAAGGGAAATGCSAGCTCCATTTTCTTTTCTCAAACCCACAAGTCATAGTGAGAAGAAAGCAACAAATGCTTTGGCACACGATCCAGGATGCCCCCCTTAAACAAACAAACAAAGGAACATAAAAACACCCAGAAAAAAATAAGTCCCTACCTCCCCTCCMGAAAAACAAACCGATAGTGAGCCTCACAGAATGGCTTCAACAATGGTACCCACCCCGTTGGTGGAGACAATAAATGGGAAAGATGGGAGAAATCAGGCTTCCTACTTTTCTGTTAGTACAAATGTAAAAATCCGTTAACACAACTTTACACGCAGAGAAGAGTAGACAACGATCGCGCGTTTGCAATGCCTTGTTTCTGACTTTGGTTAATAGGTTTCATAGTGAATCAGCACTTGGTACCTGAAAGGATGTAGCCCTCCTCCAGGTGGCAGGCTTGTATTCGCTTTGAACAGATACAAGTTTTTGTCGTTTTTTTTTTTTTTTTTTTTTTTGGTTTAGTTTTGTTTTTCTTTTTTTCCTTAAAACGTGTTCACATTTTCATAATACACAGCAAAAAGTATGTGGTTATTTGGTTTGTTTTAAAAAACTGGCTTTGGGGGGGGGGAGACAGGTGGGGGATGGGAACTATCCTACCACACACACCTTCCGTGTGGTGTATTCTTTGTTTAAAAATTTTCAAAAAATTTTCTTTTGTTTTTTCGTTTTTGGAAAACCAATGGACACATAGAAACCATTCTGTCCACTTGGTAGTTTTCTTAGTCTTTTACATACAATGGTGATGGTGACTGGGGTGCTGTTAAATTTAATTTTGATTTTCTTTCATCTTCATCTTTTGCGTTTCTTATCTTTTTTTTTTCCTTTTCTTTTCTTTTTTTCTTTTTCTTTTCTTTCTTTTTTTTTTTTGGTGGAGTCCCAAAGGTGGGGTTTCGTTTCTGTGGATTTTTGCCTCTGATTATGGGTGGACGTCTCTTTAGGAGTTTTCTTCCAGAGAGTCTGTTAGGGGTTCCAGAGGGACTGCCGTGGTGGGCTCGTGCTGTTTTAAGCGTTTAATTGTATTCTTCAGGGCTTGCCTCTTATTGCAGAACCAAACTCTAACTACTTCTCGGTCATAGTTCAGCTTCTCAGCAATTTCGGTCATTTCCTGCCCAGAGGGGTGTGTGTTCTTCTCAAAGTGGGCATTGAGGATCTCAAGGGCCTGGGGTGTGAAGGAGGTGCGCCGCTTGCGCTTTTTGGACGGTTCACTCCCGATAAACTCGGTCAGGTTCTGCATACCTGCTCGATGGCGGGCCTCAGCCTCAGCCATCCACCGCTCAAGCACCGGCTTGATCTTCTGGGCACTTTTAGGGGTGATGTCCAGCTTTTCAAACCTGGCAGGATACAAAAGGCCAGGGTTCAGTTTGGCTGTCAGACTGCTAGCTATAGTGTTCTCTTGGGCTTCCTGTGGTAGGAAAAAGTGGCTTCTCAGGATGGTGTGTCTGGGGGGAGAATTGAGAAAGAACAGTCTTACACTGAGTCCTCTGCCAGGGTGGGCTTCCTGCCTGCCTGCCTGACTGCCTGGCAGGGCGAATTCACTCCAGATTAACAGCCAGCAGCAAGGTAGCCAGCCCCACCCAAGCCAGCGCCCACCCTCCCAGCGTGCTCCATGCCAGTGCATGCAAACCACACGCCGCGCACACAGACTAGGGCCAGGGAGAGGCAGAGACCGCAGGACACCCGCGCCAGCACAAGGGGAACACAAACAACTCCCAGGCTTCCCTCTAGACTTTGAGATCTAAGCTTCTGTTTCAGTTGCACCAGCTTGTCTTCCCCAATCTCAGACTTCTTAAGGCAAAAATTAATCCTACGAAGTGACATCCAGAAAAACAGTTGTCATGTCTTTCATTTAAAATGATTATGATTTACATTTGGTTTTCTTTAAATTCTTCCCAGTTATCTGGGTTATGAAAATATTATAGCTATTAGCATAGTTATGACAACTGGGGTAAGTTCTTTTTTATGGCTCTATTTTTTTTATTGTTCTTTTGTGTCTCATTTTAACTTCTCTCTTGCCCCTGCCCCCCCACTCTTTGGTAACAATTTTCACCATATGTAAGTTAACAACATGCCCCCTTTCCAGGTAAAATATAGCCCAGTTGCTACTTTACAGTTCTGGCTCAAACAGCTGGACACATTGTAATTACTATGGAATACCCCATCCTGGATGTGCTAAGGCCACCTCACGCCTTCCAATCACTGTCCAGCGTAATGGTGTTCTTTTGCACCAGGGTATCAAGCTGTGTTTAATGTGCGATATCTGCAAACTGTACTTGAATGATATCATTTTCTGTAAATGAGGTCTTCTATATGTCAATTGCCATCAGCAATTCTTTGCTACATTGACTTTAAAAAATATGAAGCATCCTGAACAAAATTATATAGAGTGTTTTAAGAGGTCATCCTGGTACCAAATCCATACTCACTCTCAATGAAAAACAAAAAAGTACCAGTTCTTTTTATTCATTTGTTTGTTAATTCTAAATCCAAATTCACAACCCTGCAGTATTAACAACTTAGGGTACATAGAATTCCCCTGTCTTTTAAAGTGTTCTATGCTGTTGAGATACAACAGTCTGACTGCAGAGTGCACCTTATTATAACAGTCTGTTCTCATAGAGCTGAAATGAACCTGTCTTAGTCACAACATGTTTTATGAGGATGCTTGCAAAATGACAATAAAGGATAGGCTTCCTTTATGTGCGATAATCTCATTTTTGGCAATATATTTTTAGATCTCTTACATTATGACAGCAGCACAAATAGTATCGAATTTTAATGCAATTTCCATGGCATTCCCTTCCCTGAAAAATTCAAGAAGGTATTTTTTTTTTTTTTTAAATCCAACTTCCCTGTACAGGTCAAGGAGGGAAGAAGTATATTTGTTTTCAATACAAAGTGAACTAAGTATTTAGCATCATGTAATGAGCTTGTCACTGGTGACAAACAGCTCCCATTGTTGATAATCAGCCATATACTTCATTTTGGCCTTATTTACCAGTTAACCATAAAAGCCCAAAGCTTGAACTCTTGAGAGCATTACAATAAGCTTTACTGCATCATGGCACCAGGGGGATGGAGCTTGTGACAGGAATGTTCAGTGTATTGGAGGCATCTTATTCTCTGTGCTTCTGATAAGGAGGGACTAGAGGTAGCACCTGGGAGTCACTGCAGCTAATTAGGCAGAAATGTTGCCTGAATGTGCAGGCTCTGGTGCACATCCCTTCCACCCTTTGAATTCACTGAAATTGTTCCAGTGTAAGATCTTGATTTTTTTCAAGACTTTTCTTTATTTGTTCTTGGTAGCTCCTAAAATGGCCTCACTGAGAAACAGGAGGCTGAAGCTGGAGAAAGGTATTTGACCTGCCCTGTACAATACTAAAAATTGCGAAGGTTTCTGCATTCCAGTTTTTTTTTTTTTTTTTTTTTTTGTGTGTGTGTGTGTGTGTGTGAGTGTATGTGTGTGTGCTCTGCTCTTGGAAGACTTTAGAAATCAGCATATTTGATTGGGAATGCCCAGGAAACACTAGGTGTGTGAGTTCAAACATTAGACAGCACTTTAATCAATAAAAGGAAATCACATTTTAGGGCTAAAAATAAGCCAAAGAAAAATTTAGCAACAATAGCAAATTGGCAACAACTTGAAAACCTGTGGCTGCCTTTATCATAAGGCTGTCAAGATGAAACAAAATTAATGTTTCCCAACAGGGAGCAACAGTATTCATATCATTGATGCTGCTTGTTAGTGTTGATGCTTCTGTACATGTTGTTTGGAATAACATATACAAGCCTTGAAACAAATTTCCCAGCAGTAGTATCCTTGTATAGACTGAATAAAGGTTATTTTCTACAGGGAGGTATCTTATAAGAAAAAACAGTAGGGGAGACCATAGAAGTGAGAGGATCCTATGGTGCTTTTTGTATTTAACAACAATCAATGGGTTTTATGGAAAATCATTGAGCAAAATGTGAGCTGCAAGCTACTACCCCATACTGATGTTATTTATAACCTTAGTCTTAAACTGCAGGAAAAGTACACTTCCGTCCTTTGGGGAATACATTAAAAGTATAAAGAGCAGATAAAAAGACAGCATTTCATGGATCACCAAGAACAAAATCCACTTAAATGAGTTTAGAGTTGGTTTCTTGGCTTTTCCTGATGGAGGAGGACTCATAAGGCATTGCCCAAGAGGAAAAAGCTCTTACCGAAGTGCCTTTGTTACCTCATGCATAAACATGGGATTAGTGCAACACACACATGCATGCATGGGGTCTGCTTCTGACGACTTAACCCAGATCAACTTGAACACAACCAAGGCTGGATTCTGCCATTTATTTATTTATTTATTTATTTTTGGTGGGGGAGGGGCACCATCAGGCCAAATTCTCACTACCCTTTTCTGAGCCATTTAAAGCAGCAGCTGCTGCTTCTTTTTTAAAAAAATGTGCTTTAAAAGCTATGTCTAGGAAGGCAAGTAAACACATTCCTTCAAGGTCACAAGATGGTTAAAAAATATATTTTAAAAGATGTATATTTTCTTGGAAAATCCTGATAACCACCTCTAGACAGAAGTTGTGGCAGCTTTACAACATTTGCTCAGGATACTCTGTGCAGACAGGAGTCAGTGGCTCTCATGCACTGGAGCAAGGGCCCAGAAGGAAGGCTCCTGGGCTGGGGTAGTATATTTCCAATGAGACCGCCTTGGAAGTTCTTTGTGAGTTGACAGGAGTTATTAAGCCAGAACCCCTCCAATCTGCTTTAGCATACTTATTTGCATCAACAGCACCAATCCCAACATATAACTACCCCAAACTTTGTTCCCACACTCTGCCCCTCCAGCTTTGCCCACCCGGAGATGAAAAGCTGAGCCGCAAGGGCAAGGGGCCCAGGCCGGCCAGGACAGGTGACAACATGCGGCGCGGTTACCTGCAGATGGCCGACTGGCTGTACGCGGGGCCCTCTGTAGCACTGAGAGCTTGTCCCACCTGAGTCTGGGTCAGGCCAAGGGACAGGCGCCGGATTTTAAAAGCTTTGGCAAATTCTCGAATCTCTTCCAGATTAACCCCATCCACCTCACCCGCTGCRGTTTGAGGATCTGTGGAGATGTTTTTAAAAATAGGATCAATACGTCAACACGAAACCGAGTAGTATCTGTTTGTTAGGGTATATAAGAAAGTGGCTCTAACAGCAGAATGGTGGGGAATCCAACATCCCAGAATGTTTTTCTTTGTCTCCCAAACTCAACTCATTACACCTCTACAAATCACCCTTCGAGATGTTTCTATCCTGGATAAAGCCACATCCGGTTCACACTGCCACTTCCACAACACAGAAACATGTTTCTTAGGGCTTAATAAATAATAGTGCAGGGAGGCATTTACTAGGGTGATTGTAACTCCATTTAGCCCATAAATATGTTCAAATATTGTGCAAAAAATATAGACATGTAAAGGTTTCCATTTGAAGTGTCTTAATTGGGATCTTTAAGTGCTAAAAATTGCCCTTGAAGAAAATAGTATTTTGTGTTTTTCCTTTACCTGGTCACCATGCAGCCAGGCTAACAGATGATAATGTTGCCTAATTTCTTACATTCACATTAGCCCCTCAGAAAAGCATGCTTATGAAGCTGTGAGAATAATATTATCTTTTTTTCCCCCATAGCAGTTTACTGACACAGCTGCCTTTGTCCCCTGAAAGGGCACATAATAAAAAATGCCTACCACAGGAAGGCTCCTTTGGTGCAGGATAACGCGGTCAATTTAGGACTTATCAAGGGAAATGACACAACAGCTGGAGAATGAAACTTTTCCCCCCCTGGCTACTGATCCCTGGATAAATGAAAGCATACACCAAGCTGGAGACAGCATGGGTTGGGGATGGTGGAAGATTTCAAAGTGCTGCTCAATCCTGCCTGTAGCGAAGCCATTCTCCCTGTGAGCTGTCTCTATTGTTCTTCACCTCATTCCTCGGACTTAGGTGAAAAGTTTCTCTCTTCCTTTTTCTGCACAATAACCCATCAATTTCAGTAAATTTGAGTTCTTGTCGAAGGACTGTGGTAGACTATATTATGCTTCTGTGTTCAGGTGTATAGACACTCCAGTTGTTAGAAAAAGAAACAAACATTTGCATCCCAAGTGACAATTTTTAAAGGACTTTTAAGTAAATAGGTTAATATCTGTGGGAGTGGGAGAGGGGGTTGGAGCTTTGTGTATAGATTCTCCTCAGTACTGGGGAGGGATCCTATCAGCCAGTGGAAAATGGTCTCTGTGAATAGAATCTGTAATACAGCTATACATTACACCTTCATCTTTATATTTAAAAAAGAATTCTGGCCAGGTGTGGCAGGTACCTATAGTCCTAGCTACTTGGAAGGCTGAGGCAGGAGGATCACTTGAGCCCAGGATTTCAGGGCCAGCCTATGCAACATAGTGAGACCCTGTTTCTTAAAAAAAAAAAAAAAAAAAAAAAAAAAGGAGTCTAGTGGAATTTTCATTTCACTAGTCTTAAATTCATTGTAGGGAGATGGAAAAGTAGTATAACCACTGCAATTGGTCTGTATTTTTCAAAGTGACTGCTAGGGTTCCTGAGTGGAGAGAGGAATCAAATGTTAGAAACATTTCCAGCCCCTCTAGAGTTGATAGTCTTTTGGGGATTGAGGTTCAATACTACTGCATCAGAAACAAGCAGAGAAGAATCTGAAATTAGTGGTGAGACACCCACTTAAGGTGTGCAGAGAAGGGAAAGGAGACAAGGGGGAGGAGTCATCTGGTCTTACCCATGAGCAGCATTTAGAGAATGGAGAGACCTTATTCTGGTCAGTGGGAATAGGGTGCTGCTGGACACAATAAGGTTGATTGGTTGGTTGGTTGGTGGAGTACGAGCTCACTTGGTGGATACTTGAGTGTAGCAAATTCAGACTTTTTGTATATGGGCAGGGGTCCAGGATTTTGCCTATAAAACTGGTTTGGTTGTTAAGATGAATTAAAATCCTACTTTTTCTTCCAAAATTTCCTCCAGAAGTATGGTCAATATTTAGTTAATGAGGACATTCACTAAGTCATTTTTGGGTCATCCCCAGTGGAGATTGCCCTCTGGATCTTGGATTCCACCCTCACAGTAGCATGGAGTGACTTCCAAGTTTCACTAAGGATTCTGGGAGATAGAGGGGGTCACATTCATGTGCACAGCAGCCTTGAGCCCCATTTCTTATTTCTTCATTAAAAAATCCCTAGAAGCAAGAGTTGGAAATGAACAGCATGAAAATAAACCCAGTTTTCTAGTACTTGCAAATTTTTTGAATTACTTGCCAATATTTAAACTTTGATTTCTAAAGAAAAATCTGGATTTTCCATGTTCTTTTGGCTGCACTGGATTTCCATTTACAGTTGGTAATGCTCACAATGCCAGGACTGATTCTCATTGCCTCTTTAGCCCCTCAGTGTCCTCCCTCATCTCCATCCTTCTTCACACCTGCTACCTGCCCAGAATATGTTGTGACCCCACATTTAGAACATGCATCCCATGGTGGGTTCTGGGGAGGAGGTAGAAGGAGTCTTAGCTAGTGCAATGACTGTGACTCCCCAAAGGACCACAGTACATAAACAGAAGAAAGGAGAAAGGAGGGTTATTAGGATAAAAAAAGTTTACAAAGCTTCCTTGCAGGGGTAGTGGGGCAATAATAACATAGCAATCGAGGAACCTTGATTTAGAACAGAGAGGGTCAGTTGGTATAGAAGTGGTACAGTGTGGGAAAGGCCTGTACAGTCAGGAAAGAGAAGAGAGAGGCTTGGCAGTTCTATAAGGGTAGATAGTGGAGGTTCAGAAATTAAAAAAAAAAAAGGCAGAGGGAAGCCAGAAACTTTCCTTATAACAGCATGGCTTTTGGGAAGGTGGTTTTCTTACTTTGGCAAGCATAAGAGCCACCTGGTGGGCTGGGGTTGTGGCTCAGTGGTAGAGCACTTGCTTAGCATGTGTGAGGCACTGGGTTCAATTCTTGGCACCACATAAAACTAAATAAATAAAATAAAGGTATTGGGTCTAACTACAATAAAAAATGTTTTAAAAAGCCACCTAGTGGGGTTCAGGATGCATTTTTAACAGGTCCTACATACAGGTGTCAGTAGATGGCAGGGATCTGCTGACTCACTTGAAGATATCTTTCTCTGGTTTGCAAGGTCAGGGTGTGGCATCCTCTTGGTGCCATTGTTTCTCCTAACCCTTAACTGATACTGTTGAGCAGGTTTCACTGAAATCCTGCTCTCTCACCTGTCTAGGACTGATAGGCCATACAGGTCAGGTGAGGGGGACTCCTGAGCAGGGGTTCCTTGCTCCTTCCTTCCGACTCCCTGCCACACCTGGCAAGTGGCAAAGATCTGTGAGTCAGCTGGCTGGGAATATCAATGAAGTCTGTGGTCAGGGAGAGATTTTGTCTCTGAGCAAAGCTAAACAGCCCTTGTGGGAAATAAACTTTCTGCTTTTATTGGCCCCATCTCTAGATCAACTAGAATCAGTTGAGGTGCCCAGCCCATGAGGGACTGGTATTTAATCTGAAAGGATTTCTCTGGTCTGCTTCAGTCCCAGGGCCTGTGCTGCCACCAGACTAAGCAGTGCACTGCAGGACCAGTTTATGACTTGGGTAGCCATTTTATGTAAATGCATCCTATCATCTTTCTTCTCTTCCTCTGCTGCCTTTATTGTTTATGTCTTTGTTATTGGTTCTTTGTGACTCGGAACTAATTTCTGTAATTGTGTAGGTTGCTTTTTTGCAAGATGGTGGACAATAAGAAGAGAAGGAAAAGAAAAGTTGTGGATTCTGAGCTCTCTGTGCCTTGAGCAGTCTTCTGTGGATGATCCAACATTTACTGTGAAGTTCAAGGAGAAGTGGGCGCCTGAGCCATGAGCCATGAGGCTCCAACAAACATTTATTATATCAGGAAGCTGAATTCCTTCTTCCTCCTTTCACACATTTCCCACTCTTGCCTTTTCTCCTGATTTAACTTAGGTGATAAGATAGGAATTCTTGTGAAATTTATACAGGGTGATCGTCTGCTGACAAACTCTCCAAGAGGGGAAACTCAGCATCTCTTTGTGCAATTTGTTGATTGCTGGAGATGAGTTGCTTAGCCTTCTTCAAATTATGTTCCTACCCATAAAACTCGGATGGCAAAATGTATTATATAGGTTGCCCCATGGATTCCAAGACTATAGAAATCCTTCCATCCAAAGAAAGTGTCCACCCTTGTACAAATATTTGCTTTATCTTGATGATAACATGTGGGACTTGTCCTCACACATTGGAAGGATTCCTTAGCTGGTGTCTACATGTTTGGAACTAATAAAAAGACTGATACTATTATTTCTTTTATCTCAAAATTTGTCTTAAACACTTGAGGTTGTTTCACTGTTGGAACAGTTCCCCTTTCTTAAGGGATAAATGCCTTTCTGTTTGAGGAGGGGAAATAACAGGTGAATATGGCCATTGGAGGCTTCCATGGAATATTACTTAAGCTCTCAGCCTTGCTCTCAGTTTGACATTTCATGCTAGGAAAGACCATCCTGGGTTTCTCTCTTCCATTTTCCTGGCTCTGGGCAGGTTGAGTTACTTTTAAGATGACTCTGAGGTCACCTTGATTGGAATAGCTGGAACTCTCAGATCCCCCACAAGGCAGATCTGGCACCTTTTATTAGGTCTAGTGCAAGTTGGTCTAGAGTTTCTCTGGACTGGGGAGGAAGTGTGCCTTTTATAGAAGTTTGCTTCAGATTAAGTCAGTCCAATATATTAAACACAGGCCCAGAAAGCAATAGCTGTAATGGCCCTGAATTTGTAAAGAGGTTAACTGGGTTGGAGATTTAGGATAAACTGGACTTGAAAATTGGCAATGACTCAAAAGTATAATGATGATGTTTCCTATACTAAATCTGGAATGCATGGACTAAAAAGTAAAGAGATTTTTTTTTAATGAAAACTAAATGTAAAGCATGTGAAAATAAACCTGTTTTGTAGAATCTGGTGCATGGTCACTGGGCTCATATGCAGCTGAGTGTTCAGGATGCACCAGGATAGATCATTTTTGGTGGTGGTAGTTTTGCTTTTTAAATTTAGCTCCTTCCTGCTCTTAGCCTGGGTACCTGTGTAAGGGGTTGCTAAATAGGCTGAATAGTCACCAATGCATCAACAACATCTATCTATGACGACTTTCTGTGACCACTCATTATAGGAGTAATATGCATCTTTAAAGAAGCTGCCAGAAGTCTTATCAAAATATCTTATGTAAATACCCATCTGCTTTTTAGAGCTACTCTCACAGCAATTAATGGAAATACTTACCAAATATTTCTGAAAAAAATAAGAAATCATTTGGGAATGTGCAAAGCAGTTTGAGAGAATGGCAGGCTTGCGATATGTTGACTTTACTGGGTTGTGGAAAAAGGAATGAATTATGAATCAGGAGTTTCACTATGCTGCAAGCTCTCACCATCTTTATATCATGGTTTTTGTTTTTCTGGAGCTAGCTTCTGTTTTTTGCTGTCCAAGGATCAAACTTACAAGCCATAGGCTTAGAAAAATTATATTAACTTGTATTAGACAAAGGGGAATGAAGGGAAGGGGAGGGAATAGGAGAGACAGTAGAATGAATTGGACACAACTTTCTTATGTTCATATACTAATACATGACCAGTGAAACTCCATGTCATGTACAACCTCAAGAAGGGAAATTTATACTCCATGTGTGTACRATATGTCAAAATACACTCTACCAGTGAAGCAGGTGGCATCACTATACCAGACCTTACACTATACTACAGAGCAATAGTAATAAAAATGGCATGGTATTGGCACCAAAATAGAGTTGTAGACCAATGKTACAGAATAGAGGACACAGAGACAAATACACATATATACAGTTATGTCATATTAGACCAAAACATATATTGGAGAAAAGCTAGTCTCCTCAGCAAATGGTGCTGGGAAAACTGGAAATCCAAATGCAGCAAAATGAAATTAAGACCCTATCTCTCACCATGCACAAAACTCAACTCAAAGTGGGTCAAGGACCTAGAAATTAAATCAGAGACACTATGCCTAACAAAAGAAAAAGTAGTCCCAAATCTTCATCCTGTCAGATTAGGCCCCAACTTCCTTAATAAGACTCCTATAGTGCAAGAAATAAAATCAAGAATCAATAAATGGGATGGATTCGAACTAAAAAGCTTCTTTGCAGCAAAAGAAACAATCTATGAGGTGATAGAGAGCCTACAGAATGGGAACAAATTTTTACCACATACACATCAGATAGAGCACTAATCTCTAGGGTATATAAAGAACTCAAAAATCTTAACTAAAAAAATCCAATCAATAAATGGGCTGAGGAACCAAACAGATACTTCTCAGAAGATGATATATAATCAATCAACAATATATGAAAAAAATGTTCAACATCTTCAGCAATTAGAGAAATGCAAATCAAAACTACTTTAAGATTTCATATCACGCCAGTCAAAATGGCAGCTATTAAGAATACAAACAACAATAAGTGTTGGTGAGGATGTGGGGAGAAAGACACACTCATACATTGCTCTTGGGACTGTAAATTGATGCAACCAATATGGAAATCAGTATGGGGATTCCTTGGAAAACTTGGAATGGAACCACCATTTGATTCAGCTATCGAACTCCTCAGTCTATACCCAAAGGACTTAAGAACAGCATACTAAAGGGACATAGCCATGTCAATGTTTATAGCAGCACAATTCACAATAGCTAAATTGTGGAACCAACCTAGATGCCCTTCAGTAGATGAATGGATAAAAAAAAAAACTGTGGCATATATACACAATGGAATATTACTCAGTATTAAAAAGAGAATAAAATCATGGCATTTGCAGGTACATGGATAGAGTGGGACAATATTATGCTAAGTGAAATAAGCCAATCCCTCAAAACCAAAGGCTGAATGTTTTCTCTGATATGTGGATCATGATCCATAAGGGGGATGGAGGGAGCATGGGAGGAATAGATGAACTTTAGATAGGACAAAGAGGAGGGAGGGGAAGGGAAGGGGCATGGTGATAGGAAAGATGGTGGAATGAGATGGACATCATTACCCTAAATACATGTATGAAGATATGAATGGTATGACTCTACTTTGTGTATAACCAGAGACATGAAAAATTGTGCTCTATATGTGTACTATGAATTGAAATGCATTCTGCTGTCATGTATAACAAATTAGAATAAATATAAATAAATTTTAAAAATAAACTCTCCTGTCATGTATATCTAAAAAGAACAAATTTTAAAAAGTATATTAACAAATCACCAACTCTTCCCCCCCAAACAAAAACCAGCACATAATCAAAACCCAAACCCAAACCCACCTTTTTAAAAAATAGTACAGTTAATAAACGTTCCAACATTTGTTTGAGTTTTCTTCTATACTTTGTGAACATCCAGCTAATAGAAATTATATCTACCTCTGATGATTATGAAGACTAAGCATATTTTAACAGAGACCAAGGTGCATAGGTTTCATGATGTCCTAACAAGAATACTTATTTGGTAATTTGAGCTCAGATGTGGTGGTCTTTGCATATGAAGATCCTGTTTTCATTAATAAGGTATTAATTTGGCATTCCTTTGCCTGGAGTCGATAAGAAATTTGCATGATTTTTTTTTTTTGGTATATGGTAGGTTGGTGAATGCTAGGATGAGAGTCTTTGACAATGACACGGAGTACTCATTGACTATGATAGTCGAAGGTTCTATGATAATGCAAAATAATATGCAACATATTTTTGGTCTTTGTTCCTGGTTCTTGGTTCCTCCTAAGACTCATAATTTCTTAACTACTAGGGGTGCTAGGAGCATCTTTTGTTCTAACATTTAGACTCTGTAGTTCCTGATGCAAAGCTCTAAATCCCTGGGAATTTCTTTGGTGGCAGGAGCATCTTTTGTTCTAATGAGGTAACTGTTGGTTGGATCCTGATAGCTTCAAGATGGGGTTTAATCATCAGAAAGACCAAGTTATGATGAAAATTTGGGGGAGAGGGGCTTGAGATTGAGTTAATAACCAAGGAGGCCTGTGTGATGAAACCTTTTATAAAAATTCATAAACTACAGGATTCAGAGAGGTTCTGAATTGATGAACACATCCATGTACTGGGAAGGTAGCATACTCCAACTCCATGGGGACAGAAGTTCCTGCACTCAGGATCCTTTCAGACCTCACCTTGCGTACTTCATCTACAACTTTGATCATATCCATTATAATGAACTGGTAAGCATGTTTCCTCAAATTCTATGAGTCATTATATCAAAATATTGAACCAGAGGGATATGGTCCATAAATAACTAGATCATACATACATTCTACCATTCATTCTATTGATGGGTTTTGAGACAGAAGATCAACAACTAAACAACAAGCTCAATATCTATTGTAATAAGTTTAGCAATGGGTTTGTGCCAAGTCTGACTCCCATTGGTACTGCCAGACACTCTCATGCAGAGAAGACTCTAGAGGTAGTATGGGCTCCTAATTCAGGCTCTGAGTATAAGTTTAGAGTTTTTTTCTTCACTAGTATATGATGAAGAAGCCTCTCTACCTCAGGTCTTCATATTTCAGATCACTCACTATTTACTTAGAACTTAGATGTTTCGATGGCCACCAGGCAATTGAAATCCCATTTGGCTTATTAAGTAGCTCTGTTACTGAAAAAGCATCTTTCTGGTCTAAATCACCTATACAATTGAATATATATTATTATTTTCTTTTTTGGAGAGGCTACTTTGCATTACCAGATTTGTCCCACGGCATGTGAGGATCCTACTGATTCTGTTATAACAGGTCATTCTTGACCCTTGACCAAACACAGATACTCACTTGCATGTAGTCTTACTTTATGGCACAGTTGCCTTTGTAACACTATAGCCCTTTAATCCCATAACTGCTGGATTTTTTTGTTCCTGGTAAATTGCAATCTGTGTACATGTTCTTTGCTTTATGTATAAGTAAAAATTGTACTAAAGGTGAATAAATGACATTTAAGGAGACCATTACCCCATTCATCTTAACGTACTTCTATTTGCATGTGAGAAATATGCTGTCTTCACCTGGGGACAAATACCATTTCTAAAAATTTTATATATAGTACCCAACTCAGGGAGGGAGACTTGCAGGCTTGTTTTATTTTATGAATGGTTGTTCAGAGATTTCCCATCTGATTCCAGCCCATGCAGCTTCCACCACATGCCACTGGAGGCGGCTCATTGTGCACACACACCCACCCGCCCACAGGCACGCTCTCTTTTATTTCCTCTGACACCTACAAACAGAACGGCAGGAGACTTCAAACACACAGAAAAGCAGCTTGACCCTCGGCTGAGTGCCTGTTGTTGGTTATTTCAGTTCTGAGCTATGTGGCTCATGCCCTGCAAGCTGATCAGTTTCTACCTGCTGGAGGGACAAGACTGACTCAGCACATCAGGAACCCTTAGGATGGAGCCTGGCCCCCGAAGCACTAATCTAGGGGTGCTCTGGGGGCCTGCTGCCCACCATCTGGCCCTGGGCAAGGACTACATTTTAATATTGGGCAGGAGAGAGAGAGGGGGGGAGAGAGAGAGAGAGAGAGAGAGAGAGAGAGAGAGAGAGAGAGAGAGAGAGAGAAAACAAATAAGCCAGAAGAAGGCAACCATGATTTAAACCGAGCCAGAAAGGATACTTACTGCTGACTAACTGGCCCACGCTCAAAGCTGAAGAAGAGGAGGATGAGGAGGAAGAAGAGGAAGCCTGTCGGACGGGACTTTGAGACATGGATGCTTGGCCGTGAGCCAGGTGCAGAAGATTGCCTTGGGCAGCTGCTTGACCCACTGACGTCTGGGAGGGTTGGTGGAGCTACACGGGGGATTGTAAAAAAAAAAAAAAATACACAAATGAATGGAAAATTAGGGGGTAAAATGCCAGAAACAGAAGTTTCACTGGGCTTGAATCATTTTATTTCCAAGAATATACAGTCTTCTTCTTAAGAGGAGCACAGGACTTGCAACCGCAGGCAGGATTTAAAAAAAAATTTATATAATATGTTGCTGCTTGCCTGACAGGTATTTTGTTAGTAATTCTAAATATATTATTAATTACATATTTGGCTTGCTCGAGCACCCAATTTTCTATACTCCTCAGCCATGGCATATGACTGGACTCTTCCTGTTTCTACAATTGCAGCACACTTGACAGGCTTCTCAAGTATGTATGTATAAAAYGTAACACAATTAATTCAAAATGCAAAACTTGAACTTAAAGATGTGGCCATGCCCTATCATTTTGTCTCAGGGAGCTGGTAATTAGAGGAAAATTCCAACTTAGGCTGAGCATATATGGAAAGTTTCTGCTCTCCCAGATCCCAGAGTCTGAATGGATTACTGTGGGGTTGATAAAATGCTCTTTGATGTTGTATAGAAAATTAATAGAGAATTGTGGGAGTCAAGATGAAAATATTCCATAACACCCACAGCTCTCAGTTGTTCCTTTCTTATGTTTTGCCAGCCACTGTATTGGGGACATTCCTGCCCTCTCTCATTTAATTCTCACATCAGCCTGTGGTACTGGTACAATTTTAACCCCTCACCTACAAACAGGAAGCTGAGGCACAGAGGGGTTAAAGGATTTTATAGGTTCATCCAATTGGTGCCATATGCCTATAGGCATATGAAGTCTGGTCCTAGGGTCTGAGCTAATACTCACAATGTCACAAGAAATAATTAATTTTAATTTTTAATATTTTGTGTGCATCAAGAAAGGCTGTATTTATATCTGTATATTCATTATTCCTTTACTGGTTATTGCAGGACTATTGCTATGAATAATAAGAGTGGCTCAGCTCAGGAGAAGAAGGAAAAGAGGAAAGGAAGATGATTGCAAGTTCTAGGGCCACTTGGAGAGATCTCTCTCCATCCTGCATTGTTCTTGTAAAAACACTGCACTAGGGCAGTCCAGGACTCTAAGCAGGTGGGTAAGTGGCCTTAGCAGTAGCCACCTTTGTTGAGTGGATACATGTTGACTTTTTGGTTAATAAAGTGCTCTTAGATTCATCATCACACTCACAGAGGTGCAGCAAGGTTTTTATGAAAGGTGGCCAGCCTGGGAGCAGAATTAGCTGAGGCCCTGAACTTTAGCAGCAGGGCCACCCACAAAATAGACACCAATCTTGAATCATTTTCTCTGTATCTAAAAGCCAGCCTGGGTGGTTCAATTTCACATTTATCACTGCTTTCCCACTGTGCGTGCTCATTATTTCATTGAGTTTCGTTGAGATATAATTCACACATAATAAAATACACCCATTTCAAACACAAGTTTCATGAGTTTTGTCAAATGAATGTACCTGTGAAATCTCAACAATCAAGACAGAAAACTTTCTTATCATTCCACAAAGTTCTCCTTGTCCTTTGCAGTCAATTCCCCCTAACTTTCTGCTCAGACAGCCACTACTTTGCTTTTTGTCCCTGTGGGTTGATTTTTTGGCATGGTTCCAGAAATGGAAGCATAGAGTTTACACCCTTGGTGGATCTGGCTTTTTTTGCTTGGCCTGCTGTTTTCAATCTTTTTGTTGGATGCATCACCAGCTCATTATTTTTTATTGTTATGTCATTTATCCATTCTACATGGGGAGGCATTTGGGTTGCTTCCATTTTAAGGCATGGGGATATGATGAATAAAGCTGTTATAAACATTCATGTTCAAGCCTGTGTATATACTTGTATTTTTTATTCATTTATAAAAATATCCATGATTGGAATTATTGGATCATATTGTAAATGCATGGCAAACATTCTAAGAAATTCCAAAACTGATTTCCAAAGTGGTTGTACCATTTTCTATTTCTACCAGCAATCCAGGAGAATTCTAGTTGCTCCCCATCATCTCCAACTCCTGGGATCATCAATCTGTTTAATTTTCTACAGTATTTTAAACCACCAAATTAACATTTACCTTCCAAGTATTTTTAGTGTGGGGCTACCTTGGAAATATGCTTAAGGAGCTATTTTTCCTCTCTTATCCCCTTGATAATGATTAATAGTGACTCCTACAATCCATATGCTATTCCTCTGCTGCAGATGTGCCTGTTATGATTATGATAAGCAAACAACTGGTCCAAGCTCCCACTCCATAGTTCAGGGTTCTTCCCAGAATACCAGTCTCACCCTCATATGGAATTGCCTGCAATTACATTTCAAGTGAACACCCTTATTGTATTCAGTTACTCTAAATGGAGGCTACATTATGAACCAAAGATGATCATGATGGTCATAAGAAACCACATTAATATGCATAAAGCATCTGCCTAAGGTAATTAGCCAATCTGCTGAGCACATAATCAGCAATTGAATCCAGTAAATTTTATACTGTAGGGATACATATTAAAGATTAAATCTATTTTTAATTTACTTCATAAAATGTGATGGATATTTGCATGTCAGTCTTCCCCCTCTAACCTATTGAGTTGTCCTTCTAAAGACTATTACTTGGCAAAAGCTGTTTACAGTTTGAGTTACTTAATCATGAAGTCGTCTTCAGTTTTACCATTCTATCAATGTTTTATTGGCTTTGGGTATGGTAAACTACCATCAAGGAACTGGATAAGACAATAATCAATTTGAATATTTCTTCCCCAGACATGACTTGGTAAGGAAAAAGATTGCTAGGTTGAAATATCACTTAGGTGTCACTAAGGCAAGCTAGGGCTTCTGCATGAAGCTATAYAGGAGAAAAAATTTGAGAAGAAAATAAAATAGTTCTTTTAAGAATGTGTTTCATGTTTACACAGCCAAAGGGAAAATGTAATCTAAGATTTCTTAGAATGTGAGAAAGATACTTTTTTCCTCCCAAAGTAAATAATTACTTCTTTTTAGGACACTGGGGTCCTGAATTCTCTCTGGAGTTCAACAACCCAGAGAGAAACTATAAAAGTTCTTAACRGTTCTTACTTTCCAGGAATCAAGAAGATTATATTAGCAGTAGCATCATAATGAGCCAGTTGCCAGTGTAGACACATGGTCTGGTCTGTTAATTCTAGACATGCTTGTAAGTCCAGACAAATGGCCTGCTGTACCTGCCACATCAGCCCAGAGGTGTCCTCTCCCTCACAACTTCTTTCCTCAGAAAAAGGGAATGTTAGAGGCATCACTTCTTTTTCTTTTCATTCCTCAAATATGAAACACAGCACTATGTGTTTGATATTCTTAGTAATTTTGATGTGTTCTTTGGCCATTTTATCTTTAAAACATACTTATCAAATACAAGAAGACAAAGCAGAGATTCAAATTATTTCATGAAACAACTCTGGGGTTCATTATGAAAATTTTACTGACTTTAAGCATCATGAAAAAGATGTTATTTAATTATGTTTCAGATACTGACAATTGTGAAAATCACGTATACTTGTTTTGCATAATTATTGGCAAAAGAAACAGATGAATAAATCCTAAAACATAACTGGCCACAAACATTGAAATTGTCTGCCAAAAGGAAATTCAGGAAGTTGGGAATAACAAGAGGCATGAAGGAAAAGCTTATTCCTTTTCCATCCTACGGGGAAACTTAGAAGATTCTATAAAGGCAGTTCTTTTGTTACATTGACTTAATCTTGAAAGACCACATCTATGGGTACCATTTATTGGTTGCTTTCTCTATGTTCTTGCATACATTATTAAAATTTTTTTTGTAGTTGTAGATGGACAGAATGCCTTTATTTTGTTTGTTTATTTTTATGTGGCGCTGAGGATCGAACCCAGTGCCTCATGCATGCTAGTCAAGCGCTCTGCCACTGAGCTACAGCCCCAGCCCACATACACTATTTTTAATTTTGTCAATAACCCTCTTTTTAGGTGCTGGTGATGTTGTTATAGAAGAGGAACAGAGATTTAAAAAGATGAAATGACTTACTTGGGACAACATAGCTAATATGAATCTGGGTAAGTCTGACTCAAAAGCTACCATGCCTTGCTGCTCTCAATTTGGGTCTGTCATCGGAGATGAAAGGATACAAGTCTGGAAAATGGCAGGAAGCTCTTTTTGGGAAGTGTGGCAATAAATGAGATGGGTTCAAACAGATGGATCTTGGCGAGCTACCCTTTAGAGTTGATCATCCCTAGTGTAGATCATCATGACATAACCATTTGAACACAGCTCACTTGCTTTTTTTCCTAATATAAAATTTAAAGAATTTTTATAGCTTGAATACTTTTTAAAAAGTATTCTCTACATGTCCAAAGGTATTTAAAATTTCTTCTTATTAAGAAAACATGACACTCTCAGGTGGCTAGAGGATAGTCCAAAAATTTATTAGGATTTTAGTGTCATCTGGTGACACATCTCAGATAGAGTTGCCTACAGATTGTCCTTTACCCAATATAATTAATTGTGGTTTTCTGTAGTACTCCAACTTCTTTTTCTCAGCACTGTATCCTTTTTATACCACCATATTTTCTATTTGCTCACTACACCCATTAGACTGCCGAAGGAGCCGGAGTTTGCCTGGGTCTGAGTTCACATAATGACTTTCTTGCCCTTTTTTTGAGCTGTGAGCCAGGTGCAAATAGGCAGGGGCATGGGGAGCCAGCACACAAGGACAGGGAAGGGACAGTTCTCGTTAGCCAGAGGAGGGAAGATGTCCATCCCACACATGGAATGACAGACAGGGAGGACAAGACTCAGAGGCTGAAAAGCTTTATGCTTCCCACTGGCTCTCACAGGCTGGCTCTGTTGGTTTGTTTGTGTTGGTTGGCACTGCCAGGGTGTTTCATGTATTCAATAGAAAGAGATTGAAATAGCACACAGGAAAGGCTTTCTTGATTTTCTGTGCCACTGCTCCCCATGTATTTTCCGTGTGCAATGCA